GGGGGGGGGGGGGGGGAACGATGATTTAATAATAAAAAGAGAATGGGACGCGCGACGGCGCGCTTGCTTTGGAAAGTGGTGAACTTTCGTGGGATTCGCCATTTAAGAAATATTCCAAACAATAATAGTTCTCATGGGTAGTAAGGCGGCGTAAACTCTCCTCATCGAGATTCGTTTAAAAAAGGTAGACTTTGGAATATCCTCGGATTCTCCTGATAGCACCGATTCGCTCGAAGTATGCCTCAGTTCTGTGAACTTTACGCGTACGAAGTTATACATGTGAATTTCCTAACCCGATATGCAAATCTCCGCTACACGTGTTGAAGAGCTTATTAATTGGGGCCATTTACCTGTCCGAAATTATTCAATACGGTTCTTAACGAGATAATTAGAGCATTCTATCGGTTATTCAGTATCAGAATAAATTTGGATCATATAGAAAGGATGGCTATAGGCTGTAATTTCTCCAATAATTGTTAAATACAACATTTTTGTAGTCATTTCGAAAGCCCATAGCTATCTTTTCCGTATGACTATCTACCCGAATTTATCCTAATCACGTTAGATAAAAAAAATCCCACGCACTGGGAGAAAAAAAATAGTTGTGGCAACTATTTTTTCAGCAACATTGACAATTATTATAATATCTGTAACTAGTTTTATAGAATAATCGCTATTAATCTATTCAACACTGTAAAAATATAGTTATAGCAACAATATTTGTAGTGAAATAAATATATAAATAAATATATAAATAAATATATAGTAAAATAGTATCTCAACTACATACAAATAGTTACTTAGACCTCATAAAAATAAGATATAATTACATTTTTCTAGTTTAGACAAATATTTTTTTTAAATAGAGTATATTATAAGATTGGAAATAAGATTTATGTTAAATATATTACTTTAAATACGAAACGCCACTACGGTCTGAATGTTAAGATGTTGAAGGTATTATATACCTTGATCAAAAAGTTCCTGGAATTCATTCAGAAAATTCAAAATACAAGTTTTATTCATCAAAAATGATATTGTCCCCTTCAAAGTACTCTCCATCTACGCAACGCACTTATACCAGCGCTTGATCCAGCTCTCGAAACATTTCTGAAACTCTATTGTCGGTATAGCCATCAGAGCCGTCTTCGATTTTTCCATTATTTCCTTTCGGCTGTTAAAATGCGTTCCCCGTAATGATTTTTTGACTCGATCGAACAGAAAAAAATCGTAGGGAGCCATATCAGATGAATTCGATGTTGGATGATATTTATTTCGTTCTTGGTTCACGGATAATGATGGTACTGTGCGACGGTGCGTTATCATGGTGCAAAACCATGAGTTGTTCCACGAGTTGTTTGCCCACAACTTTCTTTTTTGGCGAACTGCTTTACGCAAACGTCTCATAACGCCCAAATAATACTCCTTATTAACTGTCTGACCTTCTGGCAAAAATTCGTGATGTACAATACCGTTGTAATCCATGAAAACCGTGAGCATCGCTTTCTTTTTCGACTGAAAACGTCGTGGTTTTTTTGGTCTTGACTCATTTGAAGCTTTCCATTCACTCGCCTGATGTCTGGATTGCGTGTCATACTCATAAACCCAGTCTCGTCTCCAATGATGCGTTTGATGTTGGATCGGATTCAGCCTTGGAAATCATGTCTTTGGCGATGACAACGCGGTCCCTTTTTTGTATGAAATTCAGTTCCTTCGGGACCAACTTTGCAGCAACACACAAACCCAAACCATTAACAATGTCCTGAATGGATCCATAAGCAATGTTTAAGTCCTCTGCCAGCTCTCTGATAGTTAATTTGCGGTTATTGATCAACATTTCTCTCACTTTATTGATGTTTTCGTCGATTTTTGATGTCGACGGCCTGCCATTGCGTTCGTCATCCTCGACGGACTCACGACCACTTTTGAAGCGTTCATGCCATTCATAAACGGCTGTTTTCTTTAGAGTATCACTGCCGAAACAGTTTCCCAACATTTCCAAGGTTTTCACACCATTGAATCCATTTTTAACACAAAATTTAATACAAACTCGTTGTTGCAAATTTAACTTCATTTTTAAAATTGTAAAAAATCGAAAATACGTGCAAAGGTAGATGTACTCAAGACGGCATAATTTTTACAAAAGTCAAGCTATGGGATAAAATTTGGTGAGAATGTCAATGATAGATGTGGCAACCTAACCAAAAAAAGAACTCAAATCAGCTGACTCAGAGCATCACCTGGTGCTAATTCCGGGAACTTTTTGATCAAGATGATATTTATTTAAATTTAATTTTAAAAAACTGTAATAAATTTATTGCAAAAAATATTGCCTAAGATTAAATTTGGGAAATTTGGGGAGATTATTAATATTTCAAATTGATTGCGTTGAAAGTTCGACAACCATATCGGTACGCAATTTATTTATAATTTCTGAAATTAATTCATTTAAATGAATATATATAATGGTTCAAATGTTCTTAACATTCAGACCGTAGTGGCGTTTCATATTTAAAGTACATTATATCATAGTAACTAATTAATCATTCTTTTTTGAGATAACTTTAAAAAATACGTTCAAAACCCTTTTATTAAAGTCGCTCGAGCAATATCATTGTTATCAGAGGGAGATTCAGTGAAATTCTCCTAAGGGAGGGAGTGCAGTGAAGTTCTCCTAAGAAGAAAACACTCAGCATACAATAAAAGGTGCAATATCCAGAAGCGACGATCGCTCACTGAACACTTACTGAGCAAAAAAGGGATTTATCTATTATTAATATATTTATTTATTATAATTCATAACGTAGAATAACTTTGTCTGCTATAAATAATCTTTAATATCTTAATTTAATATCTTTCTTCCTTATTTATTACTGTTTATTATTTTTCTAATGCCGTGTTTAGGCTGCAAGGTTATGTAGCGCTCAGTGAGCGGTGGAACTTAATGCAACTTAAAATTACGCTCCATCATTCATTGAGCGTTACATAACTTTACGACTTAAACATGGCATTATAGAAATAATAAACAGTAATAAATAAATATAACAATATTAATCATTTGTAGATGATTAACATTACTAAATGTAGATGATTAACATAACTTAATAATACTACATTTTCTTAGTTCATACAACTTATTTCATGTTCTTATTATAATTTTATAATATATAAAGACGCTATTTAATTATAAATTTATAGTTATTCATACGACCTTTTTTCTGAGTTCAACAGTATTGCGAATTCGTCCTTACGTGGCTGTCACAGACAAATGACGTTCCTCAAATCGCCGTTGATTTAATTGCGTTCGCTCGGTGGTGTCTAACAATTGCTTTCCTTGAACGATTCATCTTATCTGCTTCCGAAGATTGATTAGCTGCACTCTTCCGTGATTCCGTTCCGGCTGTCGCTCAAATCCCTTAAACGGGATTCTCCCAATAAGCGGAGCTTTTCCCCGCGCGTGAGAGAGATAGGGCAGATATTCCGTATGCTATTTGTGTAAATGTATGTGTTTGTGTGTATATGTACCGAGTGTCTCTAGAATTGCAGAATCTAGAAAACTCGTAGACATCTTTTTATTTATTCACATACGTAGACCTTTGGTCTAAAATTGCAATATCAATAAAATGTAGCATAACTTTCAAAGAACATTTATTTAGAACATTATAGATTTATACATTCATACATCATTTTAAAGCCGGTATTCATAGAATCTTATATTTAAAACCGTCTTAAGTATACAGTCTTAAGATGTCATAAACTAATTATAAGATCGATATTCAATAGTTTGTTTTTACTTTAAGACCGTTTTGAGTAACGTGTTTTGAGATATTAATACAGCTCTTTAATTGACTCATAATTCATAATATCTCAAGACTGTACTGTAATATGATAATCTGAAATATAAGACTATGAATACCGGCCATAGAACAGTATTAATTTTTAATATTACTTAAGACTTAAAAGATCTTGAAATAAAAACTGATTATGAAATATTGATTTAGAGGCTTTGGTTAAGATGATTGGTCCAAACTTTCTAAAGACACTAGGTATACCTAGAAACACACACATGAGTGAATGTGTGTGTTGTGTAGAAATACATATAGAATGTTATTCTGTGCGCGAAGGAATTCATCGAATTTATTCGGAATATCTAAAAAGCTCAATTTTTTTCGCTTGGGTCGTTTGATCGTTTTATATTTGCAAGTAGTGATCGGTAAACCACTCTGTCGTAGACGAACGTCATTTCTCTGTAAATGCACGGGATACCTTTGGTGCACCGGACTGTTAAATGCGGTCGTTTGTGATATGCGCTACATTTAAATCGGATCCGATGAGTACGAGAAATTTGCATATTGTCGTCTACGCTTAGCTAGTAGCGCATATCCCATCGAGTCTCATAGCGTATGCTGAGAACGTAGAGGCCTTCTCGCTTAATGTCGAATCGCTGTTAGCCTTGGATATCTCGAATGAGAGATGAGTGATAAATCGACAATCAACATTGCGTATAATTAGTATTCTTTTCAATTTGTTATAGAATTAAAATAAAATATATCTAATTATAAATTTGAATAGTTTTAATTGAGGAAATGAAGAACCAAATTAATTCAGTGCAACCTGCGCGTTGCAGATGAGAAACAATTAATTTTTTTCAATTTGTCATGATCTTAATTTAGTCTGAAAATCTATTTATTTTAATTAAATTTAATTAAATGTGAAAGTAAGAATTTTTATTGTAATGAGAACTTGTTTGATTCTCTCTGATTTTATCGTAATGTTTTGTCATCCACTCTATATCTTTAAATATAGTAAGAAAAGAAGACATATTCGATCGATTTTTTTTCTTTTCTTTTCTTTACTATTAATACAATATACTGTCATATTTACAGATTGCATACGACAAAATTACTTTTGCTATTCGTAAACTGCACAGTGAGATGTGCATTTGGCTTAAAGGGGAAGGGTTTTTTTATCTATTGTCGATAATTTTTCTAAGGACCGAAACGCCCTTTCTGCAAACTCAATCCAATTTCTCCCCTATTCATCATTCACCCCATGTCTTCTGTGGGAAGAAAAATGTCGAGTGACGGAAACGACTAATGTGTTTCTATTTGACGGATAAACGGCGACATATAATATAAAATTAATAAATTCGAAACATTAATTGCATTATATCGTTAGAAAGACAGCGCTCTGTGACACAATAGGAATTAATAGTGAATGTTATTTCTTGCGCACAACATTGAACTCGTATCTCTAACACATACCTACATTTATGTTACATAATTTATCATATAATAACATCTATCTTATACAATTTATCATATAATGACACATTTATCTTGTATAATTTATCATGTAATATCTGCATGGATGGCAATGGAAGTTCCTTTCTGACATAAGCGACTGTCAGATAATTATATGAACAGTGTCAAATGGACACAGCATTTATTGAGCCAGATGCCAACGACATAATAACGTGGCGACCGTCCAAAATTTATTAATTATCCAGCAATTAATTATCGGGATTCTCTTCCGATCGTTTTGTTGGACATGCTTCTAACTACGTCACATTACTCTTTATCTATACATTACACGCTGTGCCATCACGCAAGTTTTTCAATTAGCTGTCGAAGCTGTGGTTTAAACAATCAAACTTCCGAAATGCTCCGGGATATACACGGAGATATGCGGGCACTTCCTATCCGCAACGCTATTGCTCTTAGGGACATCTCATTTGTCTCGCCAAACATCATTCATCGTGTGGAACGATGACAGAACATTTGCTCTATTGCTTGAGAATGAGTTATCCTGCGACGTCAGTGTCTCCTTATATATACATATATATATATATATATAGATGAATATGTGAAACCAAGCGATGAGCGTACACGACGATGCTCTATTGCGTATCATATTCGCGTGAATCATCCGTCAAGATTATTTAGCATAAATAAAATTCGCTCGAAAAGCTATGCCTCATATTTCTTCCTTTTTCTTTCGAACCGATCATTCTGGACACGAGAGAATAGCTTCAAACGTGAAGTATTTTTCGAGCGAAAGAATCCTAATTTATTCGAAGAATGTCTTAAAATGCTGATAAATCGAGTTGTATTTTAGAAACTGCGAAAACTAAGTTTTATTGCTTGTGAAATCTTCGATATAACATAATAAAATGTCAAGATGGGCTTTTTTGCTGACAAAGCCAGTAGCAATGATTCACTTTTCCCAATACTAGTAGGTACATGAAAAATGGACTACTTCTACCTTTCCTTTAAAACAGACTTTGCCTTCATCTCTTGTCAAAGTATTTGCTTTATTCTTATCCATATGAACGCGTGTTCTTTGACGAATGCGACTTAAATTTTTTCTAGAAAGGTTTTGTGGTCCAACGAAAATGTTCTTGATTTTTCGTTCGATATCTTATGCTTGTTTCCTCTTAAATATATCTAACTGATGTTAAAATATTTATACAGCAATATCGAAAATAATTTATCAATATGTATCGTGATCATCTCTAAGTATCTATATCTCACATGAATAATTTTTAATAATACTCGCGTTAGATAAACAAAATATTAATAAATAACATCGCAAATTATTGTTTGACAAATGAAAAAATCATGATCGAAATATCTAAAAATTTAGCTATAGATCTGAAAATAATTTCGTTTGGATTATCAAAATATAAGACTCTTCAAATTGGTTGCTAGAATGTTAAAATTTTTGCAATTGCAGCATTGTTTAAGTGCTACGTAATTATTTTAATGTTCCGATAAAATTATTTTTAAATCGGTATTTAACTTTTTTAAATACTTCAGTAAAATATTTTTTTTCCTAGACAAATATAAAAAGTATTTAAGTTTTGCTTGGGGAAACTAATTTAACTCTTATTAACACTGACATAACGTTGCATCGCTGATATACAGTCGGAATGTTAAGAATCGATATGAAATGGAATCATCGTCAACAGAGCGAGGAGAGATTCGTGATATCTATTGAATCAGAATAGATTAATTTTGAATTATCGTCCCTATTATTTATGCACATTGCAAATCATTCAAATAGAATTTAGCGATTTGATTAGCATTCGACGGAATTAGTTTAAAATTTTCCACATGAGCCAAATTCATTCACGCTTGAAAATGATGTGCTTTTCGCCAGGAATACATTGACAAGAGAAGGAAGGGTTGTCAAGACAGAAAAATGTCTGGAAATGTTCTTTTTCCATGCAAGCTCAACATTTACGACTTCATAACTTTTTAGGAGGAGCAAAGTTTTTCTCGTCAAGTGCGTTGCACGTGTAAAGAATTTTCTAAGAGTACATCCATATAGAGGAACAACTCTGTTTTCACGCGACTTGAATACTTTCACTATCTTCAGTGTGAATACGTGTCATAAAGATAGTTTTTCTAGATTCAGCTAAAATGTATAAGGGGAATATATTCTGTCTTACTGAAAACCAAGCAAGAAAAGAACTGCTTTTTTTCAGCCGAAAAAACATTTTTCATATCATGTACAGTTTGAGAATTAAATATGATGTGATATATATTTGATACGTTATAGATATATATCTATCGATGTGAGAAAAGATTGCATTGTGGATTGCGTCAGCAATTTTATTATTTGATTTCATAATGTAAAAAAATTGACAAGAAACCGACAAAGAATATCGTAAACAATTCACGCGCAGAAGAAGGCATTGCTTTTAAATTTCTTATACGAGAGGGCAAAAGTTTTCGCGAACTCGACGCTGTAAAATGCCTGGCTTTGCTTTTCATAGGTGTCAGAATTCCCTAGATTCCTATCTATAGCGATTGTAAAATTTAGTGCGTTTTCGGGAACTTTGGATATAAAGTCGGAAATTTTATAACGCGGCTTAGACTTTCGACGAATTTCCTTGTGAAATTTTATTTCGAGCGAGTTATCGCTTGAATTATTATCACGAAACTTTTTCGTCGGCCAATACGCGATTTTTTTATGAACTCCCCGAGATATAAATCGAGAGAATAGAAAATTTTAAAACATTTTACTGAAACCTCGCTCACCGCAAAGGTTTCAAAAAGGTTTTTGCCTATAATTTTAATAACTCGTTATTATTGCATAGAAAAAATGAGAATAATAAAATAAACAAAAGAGGTGCAAAATTTTTTATATTTTAAATCTTTGATGAATTTTTTATATTTTAAATCTTTGATGTATTTTTGTATATGTCTAATTATATTGATTTTATGTGTAATTTTTTTCTATGTCTCTTCTTTGTTGTTTACATTTTATGCTATTTTGTCATATCGAGTTTGTGAGATTTACTGACTTTTCTATCCTTAACTAAATATCAATACTTATTTAGTTTACATAATATTATAGTTTTGAATATATAAAAAAATTAAAATATCAATTATATATTTTATTAAAATATCAATTATATATTGTCTTAATCATTATTTGTATATTGCATTTTTTATATTATACAAAGGAAAAATGTTTGCAAAATGTATGTCTGTCAATTTTTTCGCTTGGATCACTTCAATTCATGTATAGCAAATTATATTATAATAAAGATAAAGATTTAAGTAGTAAAATATTATTAAATTAGATTTATAAAAATCTTTTTTATTAAACATAAAGATTTAATTAATATTACAAATTAACAGAGTATATAATTCATTTTATTTAATTTGTTTTAACTGCTCGCGTACTAATATTTAATCAGAAAATTGCGACGATATTATCATATTATTATGCAATATATTTTTCTTTGTCAACGAGATTTTTTTCTCAACTTGCATTGAATTAACTCTAACGCGGCCTCGCTTAAAAGCAGATACGGAAGCTGGAAAAATGTAATAACTTTTATCCTTCGTCTATTTGAGATTTACGATTCACACAGCAATTACGCAAGTATACGTTCTCTTGCGATAATTCGATAATACGGCGTTCGTTGTTTCTCCGTTTTCGTTTTCGCGCTCTATGCGAGTTCTTAGGTAATAAACTACAAATAAACGGCGGATATACCCATAGGACTCTTAGTTTGCTGTATAAAAACGTGAGAACAAAATAACGACTTCAACACGGAGCTTTAAGGATCAAATAACGTGATGTAACAAGTAAAAAGAATATATACACAATGAAATCTTCGGCGCGAGAACATGAAACAAAATTATAACTTTATCGCAGAATCATCAGCATAGCATATAATAGCATATAATATTACATATATTTAAATTTTAAAAAGTTGAGGATTGCAAGGCAAAAAAGAAGTTATTATATAGCGTATTATATAGGTATTTTATTTAGGAAATAATGTATGTTTTAACATAATACATTTTTATACGCTATTTACAATGTAATGTATGTAGATAATATACATAAAACATTTGCATCCAGAAAAATATAATTCTAAGTAAAAAATATTCAGATAGAATAAATGAATGAAAGTCATTATAATTATGAATAAAATCAGTTCTGCATTTTTCTTGTTAAATTTTCACTTATTGGTTGCTCGATATCTATAAAATTCTTAATTAGTTCACGTTTCTATTCAACATATGTGTAGTCTCTATGTGAATCATCGAAATTTCTTACAGTGTCAAGATTGTTTCCAATGCCGGTGCAATTAGGCTGTTTACTTTACGAAAAAGGCACGGTAAACTTGCGACGATTTTTCAGGAATCACGCGAAGACTCCAATCAAGTCAAAGAGTCCCAATGGACACTGTGGTTGGTACTTGGAGCAGTTTCTATTGCGGCCAACCAGCTCAGCTTCGAAAACATCTCGCGACAATCCCTCGTGTTTCGAAGTACTCGGACTGAAAGCAGAGAATTCTCTAATATAATTAAATCACAACTTATTGTCTTTCAGTACTTACAGTGACTTTTTAGAAATAGTAAACATTAATTAGCAATTTATTAAGAAAGAACAGAATAAAAGATAATATATTTTTTTAAATTATTTTAAAAAGATTTCTCAAAATTTCAAAAAAAATATCATGATTAAAAAATATTATATTATCTTTTAATTGAGAAAATTTAAAAACTGCTTTTTGAAACGAATGGGAATGTATTTCACCATCATACGAAACCTAATGGAATCACTGCATTAAAGACGCGCTGTGATTAGCCAATGGTTTTCCTAGTAAATATTAAATTAATATATTATCTAAATTAAAAAGAATACTTTTATACAAATACTTTTTGTTTAAAATAATATATAATTTTTTTATGTTAAAAATATGTTTAAAATATATTTGGGTTATTATTATAGTTTCTTTATTTATAAGGTGCCAGTACCTGAACTGCAACTAATAACGGCCCAGCACTGAATTAATTGTAAAACTTTTTATAGAGAAAGTACTTCTTTTTCATTTAATTCATAAAGAAGATATAAAGATTTTTAAAGAAGATAAGAGAAAGTAATGAACATTATTACCTTTTCGCAATGTCGTATGCCCTAACAATTAAACACTTACAAAGATTTTAGAAAATTTCATGTGAGGATTTTTCTAAAATGCTTTTATCTTGATTCTATCGAAAATAACGACGCTATCTTTGTAATCTTTTCCAGCGATTGAGGAATTTAGCCGAAAATTTCCATCACGAATCACGTGCACGTCCGTTAACGTATTCTTGTACATTCGCGAATAATGACTCGAAGGAAAATAGTATGGATTTCTTTTGTAATCGAACGACCTTTATTCATACATCCTTTCTTGACGTTTTTCGCTTATAAGTCCCGACGGTAAAAACAACTCCCTCATTTTGCATGGCAATCGTCATTTCGAGAAAAACCGATTTCATCGATTCAATTTTTATATCATCTTTTGTTACAGCGATACGATCGGTTTATTGGAATTTTATTTCGACCTCTCATCTTTTTTTTTCTTTCTTTTACTCTTCCTTTTATGTGAGTCCACCTTCTCGATGAGAGACGATAAATCTTGAATATCTTGCGTGCTGGAAAACGAACCGAATGAAAAATATTTCCCTTCACGATAATGTTTTGCGAGTTTTTTTCCGAGTTCGCGGGAGTAAAGTTGGATTCCAGGATGCGTCCTGAAATATCCGATGGGTGGTATTGCTTCGTGCTTTCCGACCTCCGGTCGCTGAAGTGCCGGACGTTTCAAAAAGTTTATTACTGGTTTTATAAAAATTTAAGAATGCTGTGCATAACTTTGCGATTTCGTTCTTGTACAAACCGAATGAAGTTAATCGGCATTTCTTACTAGAAGAAAATAATGAAAAAGCGCAGTATATATAACGTGTTTACCAAATCTTCCCTCCAAACTGCAACGCAGAAATTATAATATTAAATGAGAGAGAAATACAAGAAATGTTCACCATTATTGTATTGAGAGATATTATAGACGACTATTTCTCTCGCCGTTGTTTATTTCATCACTACCTTCTCTGGTTTCTCGAGACTTGTCGATCGACAATTCGCCAAGAAAAATCTTTCCAGAAGCGGTAGTTCATGAAAAGAGATACGGAATTCCTTTGTAATTTCGAGTTCCTTCTGGGAGTCAAAAAAAGATGAAGACACATCCGAGCCGGATGTAATAACGCATCAACGTTACCAAGCAACCTGCGCTAACAATGAAGACATGAAACTCTTTGTGTTCTTTCTTTTTTCTCTTTGCTATTCTTACGCGGATGAGCGAGAAACCGCGCATTGTCGTTATCATCGCCGTAACGCGATGATGCGAGGAGTTGCGTATCTCATGTCGGGATACAAAAATCTTAAAGAGACGACCATACCGTTCTCGTCGTTTGTGTACCTTGTATGCTGCATCTTCCGCCCCAGATCCGAGAAAGGTCGTTAGTAGAACTTGCTCTAATGGCTAGATGAGAGGACTAATGTTCGAGGGATCGAAGAGTCTCGTCTCAAACTGTGGACTTAACCGTGAAATATTTTATACGAGAAATAGTTAAATATTCTTCGGCGAGTTTCAGTTCATTTACATGCGTTCGTCCGCAACGAGACATTGCTCATTTGCATAATAGGACACAAACACATAGAACGCGAAAATAGAAGAGCTCGCGGCGCACCAACATTTTGCAGACGAAATATGCGATTCATCAACGTATTATGCAATTGTATGCTGCACGTAGGTGACTTTTCGTTCTTTCGTCGCGGTGTCGACAACGGCGACAATGTCATTTCGCCCGTGGGTCTATTCTTTATTCATACGTTCCTAGTTGGAGAGCTTATTCGCTTGCGAGGAAGGTCGAGCCAAGCGGATGCGCATCTCTATATACGATGGGCGAAGGTTGCTGCGAGGAAGCCAAATTTGCTTTTCCATGGTGCGTATCTACTCCAATTTGCAACGCCTTGGAATACCGCATTTCCGGAAGAAAAAAAGAAGCCCGCGAACGATACTCTTATTCCTCCTTTCTTTCTTCTGTTTCTTTTTGCAGAAAGAGAGGAAACTCGCGTCTGCATTCTTTGGCCCGTTTTACACGTTGGTTGACCGAACAATATCGTGTAATGCGCGGGGAAAGAAATTCAACCGTGAGTTTATAATCCAGGTTTTATCTGTGAAAATGTTGTATACAAATCTTTTTATATGAGTTCTTTCCTAAATAATGAAGATATTGAGACTTGTTTTTAAAAAGAATTATTCCTTTGCTATTATTATCAAGCTTTGAAAAACGTAATTTATTTTTAAAAAATATAGCTATATTAATCTTAATTTTAGACATCATATTACAGGAACTGCTAGGATTGGGCATGTATTTGAAATAGTTTTATTTAAAAACAGTAAGTTTGTAAGACAAATTGTATTTTGTATTTCAAATACTAAGATTGACCGCAATCTTATTATTTTAAATTACAAAATACAAAAAACTTTCAATCTTTCGATTTTAAAGATAAAATACATAATATCTTTATGTGTTCTGCTGAAATACAAAATACAATTGTCTTACATTTGTATTGCAAATATTTTTAAATAAAGTATTTTAAACATGTCCAATCTTGACCACTGCGATATATAGTATATTCTGCATCCAATTTGATTGTTTAATAATTTTCAAAAAGAACATATTATAAATTTTTTTTTCAACCAAAACGTCAAAAAATAAAGAACATACACTGTTCTTATAATTATACTAAATTTATAATTATACTCAAATTATACTCAGTTTGAGTTATTTTTAAATTCTCTAAATCGTCATTGTTGCATATGTCGTTAATTTAATTAAAACAATGGAGTTAAACAATTTAACTCAAGAAAATTGTTAGATTCGACTTAAATTTAGTTTGTTATTTACTAAATACATACGTTAATATAATAAGACGATGTTTACTTTGAAACTAAGTACAGAAATGGATTGGACCACATTTTGGCAGATGGAAATTAAGAATAACAAAATGTTATTTTAATTCAAGAAATTGATTTTGCCTCCTTTGATATTTAACAGTGTAATAGTATCAAGCAAAAGTATCTTTATTAATAAAAAAGTTATAAGTAATGGAAAAAGTATTGAAAAAGTATTGGAAAAAGAATACCGGATATACTATACCGAAAAAAACATTTAAGAATTAAAGAGCCGAGAATTTATGACATTTTTAATTTTTTCGAACGTAGAAGTTCATCAAAGTTTCTCTCTGCGTTCTTTTAGTAACAATAAATAATTTGCTTCACTCTGGCGTCACGCACTATCTCTTTAAAACAAAGTAATTTGGAACTAAAAACAGAGTTATATGAAAAAGGATAATTTTAATTGTTTTAATTAAATAATAATATTATGAATTTATCATAAAGTTTCGGCCATTATTATTAATAGAATCAACGATGAAACTTACGTGAAGATCACATGCATGATGTCACCGATCAACCCATTGTGTTGGAGCGGAAACTCCGAGGTTTCGCAGATTGCTCTCAGCAGACACTCCCTTCCGGAATACCCGGAACTATGGCAAAAGGAGAAAAATCAAGAAAAGTTCACGGCGAGACGCGGAATTCGAAGGAGGTTGAGAAGGAATAAGAGAGAAAATCGCACGGCCTCGGCAACAACTGTTTATTTTGCGCCTTACGATTCTCTAAATACCAGATTGAAGGTTCATGTGCATATGTAATTGGTAGGTATCTATGTATATATTCGCGTCGGACAGTGTAATGCAATTCCCAGACGCTCTAAACTCTTGTAAAATGAAATTGGGAATGCATTCACCTCGAATCTCTCCGCTGATTTCCTTTTTATTCGCCGCCACAGCGTGGTCTAGGTAAAACTCTTCTCGCTCACAAGATCAACATCAATTTAAATGTAATAATTGATCGATTTTAATTACATCATTTATGCCAATTGGGTGATTTACGACATTCTAGTTTAATGATAACTTGTTCAACGATAATTTTTATTTAGTTTGTGGAGGTCTATTATATCAACATCAAAATATCAAAGTAACGAGAAAAACGAGCAAAAAATTGTTAAATTAACAGTAAAATAATATATTTGAGGTACAACATCAATAAAAAATCTTACAAATTAAATTAATATAAATTAATATATATTAAATTTTAATATTAATATAACAACTTGCTTTTTGCTCGTTTTTGATTGTTTTGATTGTTTTGGTTGTTTGATATTTTGCTGTATCAAATAATTGAGCGGTTTATATTATTGCTATTAATATCAGATATCAAATATTAGGATAGGAAGTGTCAAATGCGATTAGAGAAATGAGGAAATAGAAGTGATAAAGTTTCACCAAGAATGTATAAAGGCAATCTATTTTTATTTATAGTTCGCGATTGCGTTTGTTTTAAATTTTGTTATATTATATGACGACAATATCAGCAAATCATTTAGCAAACGGTTAGATTAAATATTTTTAATTTGAGAAAGCACGAATATCTTACGATATTATAGAACAGCTCTTCCGGAATTTTAGATTAGGTGGAACATGAAGTAAGGCAATATGAAAGGATTATCCACGAAAGGAAGATCCACGTGCTCGTAATGCGCAATTATTTGTTTGCGAACTTGCCTCTCAAATTTACTTTCCAGAACTCGATAAATTGTGGCTCTCTCGATATTCCTCTTTCTCCTTTTTAGTCCCGTCCAAGGCTCGAGAGATGTTATGTTTGGCGGTAAAATGTAGTTAGCCTCGAAGAAGTAAGATAGTGAGATCGAACTCAGAGGATCCTCGAGTGGCACCGCGAGAGCGACGAAGATCTGCAAGAAACGTTAATCGCATAATCGCCGCACGATTTCATTTCTACATTGGACTATTCTCAGAATTGGGAAAGTTTTAAGAGAACAAGATCTTATTTTCTCTCTCTCTCTCTCTCTCTCTCTCTCTCTCTCTCTCTCTCTCTTTCTTTCAATCAAGATTCTAACAAAGGCAACTTAATATAATAATAAAAAATGTCTGAAGAAAGACAGAAATATATATATATATATGTTCAAAAAGCTAATTAAAATATGTTAAAATGTATTAAATAACAGGAAAAATATATATTAAGTAACAACAATCACATGTAATTATATTATAATTGTAATTATATTATAATTATATTATAACTAACGCAATTTATTGATACAAAATGTTAGTAATATTTTTACATATACAATACTTACACCCATATTACTATTTTTTGGAAATGTTAGACTTCTAATAGGCCGATGTAAAATTTTTGCAATATTCGAGTTTGCCATCTTTGTTAGCACAAGATGCGACGTCAGTATCAAATTAAATACAAAAAGTCTGCAATTCAATAAATTCGTTTTGAATTAGACATAAATGAAAATTCGTTTAAATAAAGTAAGAATAGTTGAATTGTCGTTAATTTTTTATAACGTTGATATGTGTTAGTCCGATTATCTCGTTTGTTAATTATGCGATTGATTCTTTTTAAGAACTTTTTAAGACTCTTGTTATTGATCATCATTGGACACATGTTTTTAACATTATGACTTTGTGACTTCTCCGATCCATGGAAATTTTAACATTCAGTCGAGCAGCTGATTGGGAACAATTTCCATCGGTTTCAACGTATAAATCCATCGGAAATGATTAACTTACTTTATTTTCATTTTTACTTGGTTTTTATCGTTTCATTTTACTACGGGTTGCAGTATGCGATTATAATAAATCTGAAGATAGCTCGATCAAGAAGTCGAAATATGTAATTTTTTATTGTTGTAAGACATTTTATATGTTATCATCAAAAATTTTTAGAATAATGATATCGAGAATAAGTATTAGTAAATTGACATGTGTTTAGTAAAATTTTACTGTTTTTGATTCTTATATGTTCTTTACTTATTGTTAGTTTTATTTGTAAATAAATTACTATAAACATACATTATTATATCATACATATAAAATTACACAGATACTGTACTCTTTCTTTTTTCTTTTGTCTATTTCATCTTGCAATATTTTCTTCTTGTTCGAAAGTTAATAAAAATTAGGCTAGTATTAGTCAAGTTTATTAATTTAGTACTTACGCGATAAATAGAAAAAATAGAAAAAATAGAATGAATAGAAAAAAAATTGAATTATCAAGCTTACAAGATTTTCTTTGACTGGCAACACATGGCAGGCGGGATTCCTTTAAATCTGTAGATTTCAGAACTTTGTATCGATTTTAGTCACAGAAAAATTATTTTGCGATATTATGCAGAACCGGTCTGCAAGCGTCACTCTGTACAGTTATGACTGATGAACGTTAATCTGGTGTGTATACACAAACCTTTTTGTATTAGTTATGTTGCTATTTCCTCGAACGGGATATTGAGCTGTCGAAAATTTTACAATTATTATAACAATTTCAATTATCGTAAATGTTAAAATGAAGAAAATTTTTTCTTGACAATTAATGACATTATTAATGACAATTAAATTTTTTAATTCGAAATGAATCATTGAGTGAACTTCTTTCAGAAAATTTTTATTTTCTGAAATTCGAAAGTACATAATATTTAAATAAAAAAAAAATCGCCATTAATAATGAAAATAATGTAATAACAATGATAAAATATTGTAATGCATTTGCATTTAATACAGGTAAAATGTTTACAATGTGAGCCACGTATATTGGTGCGTACATGAAATATGCATAACGCACAAGGAAAAAACTTCACAGCAAAAAACTTCACTGATTCAGCAAAAATCTACAGTCGTAACATATAGACAATCAATTTTTCTATGTTAAAATAGCAAAGTTGACAGTTGAATAACATTAGCGATTTGTTAACTATCAAATCTTTTTAGCTATCGATTGAATTCGCGTAGCAAATATAAATAGGTTTGCTGTACCACCTAATTAATTTTTTTTCCGTGCAATAGATACAATTGTATATATCGCGTAATGAATATTTAATTTACGCACCAATTTCCGCGGAGGTATTTTATTTCTATTAGATTTATTCTTGAAGATAAAGAGAAAGATACTAATATTACTATTTTATTTTATTTCAATTTTTTATTTAAGATATAATATAATAGTGAAACAAAATTCAGTTTGAATTTTCTAGAT